CGTGCTGCCTTCCTTTGGGGGAATTCTCGAGTAGGGTTTGGCCTGCATGGTGAAACCCCGTCTCTGCTAAAAATACAAAAATTAGCCAGGCACGGTAATGTGGGCCTGTAATCCCAGCTATGTGGGAAGCTGAGGCAGGAGAATCACTTGAACCCGGGAGGCAGAGGTTGCAGGGAGCCCAAGATCACGCTATTACACTCCAGCCTGGGCAACAAGAGCAAAACTCAGTCTCAGAGAAACAAAAAAGAAAGAAAGAAAAAGACCTCCGAATCCTCTTCAAACCCTGCTCCAAACCCTCTTCCAGCTCTGGGATGAGATGGCTCCTCTCTTGGCCAGAGGACCGTAGATGAAATGCTACCATCTAAACCATGAATGGCATGGCAAAGAACATGGTGGTTGCTGGGCACACCCTACAGCAGCCAGACGTGGCCCCCTCGAAGGGCATGGTCCCCATCAGGGCTGTGGAGCCCTCTGACAGGAGGGACTCCTGGGAACCCACGCAGGTGCAATCTGAGCGCGGGGTGTGGCGTCTGTGTCCCCTTTGCGTGACTCTAGGTGGTGTCCAGAGTCTAGCCGGGAAGTAGAAATGCGCCAGCCATGTTAACAGAGGAATGGAATACACAAGTCTGTTACTCAGGGATGAGAGGACTGAAGGGGGGGAAGAGAGGCATAGCGGCGCTCAGGCAGAGATGGTCCTGACGGGAGGCAGCTGCCACCGCCAGGCTTTGAGAGTTCTGAAATCTAGACGGTCAGGGGAGAGGCCCAGCCAAGATGCTGCTGCAACCTCCAGGAAGGGGCATGCTGGGCTGGTGCCTGTCTCCAGGAGCTGGGAGTGAGACCCGTCGGGGGAGATGCTCTTCCGCCCCAAGAGCTTGAGGGTGGGCGCTCTGCTGAGTTGGCTCTAAGGCCTCCAGGGCTGGTGCTGACATCTTTGAGGAAGTACAGACAAGGATAAAGGCAAAAGAGAGGCTGGGCGCGGTCGCCTATGCCTGTAATCCTATTTGGGATTACAGCTATTTGAGTGGCCAAGGCAGGTGGATCGCCTGAGGTCAGGAGTTTGAGACAAGCCTGGCCCGCATAATGAAACCCCACCTCTACTAAAAATACAAAAATTAGCCAGGCATAGTGGCCCACACCTAGAGCCCCAGCTACTCGGGATGCTGGGGCATGAGAATCGCTTGAACCCAGGATACGGAGATTGCAATGAGCTAAGATCACACCACTGCACCCCAGCCTGGTGAAAGAGCAAGACTCTGTCTCAAATAATAATCATAATAATGAAAGCAAGCTAGAACCACCTTCTGCTGCTGAATACACGCTTGCCACGGTGACACCCGGTCTCACAGCCTCTCTCCAGTCCCCCATGGCACAGCCTGACAGGGAGGAGCTGGGAAAGCAGACATGTCTGCAGGGGTTCAGCTCCAGACTTGCACAGCAGGGCACATTTGTATAACCTAAAGACGGCATCAGGGAGAATTGCAAGCCCCCTGTTTTATAGATCGTGGGATGGGCAGCACAGCACACTCACGGTATGTATCGTCATAGGCTGCAAATAACGACTCTTCTGGTCAAGGATGGACCGCATGTACAACAGTGGTCCTGTAAGGTTATAACAGAGCTGAAATCTCCCACTTCCTAGTGACGTCGTAGCCATGGTAATGTTATAGTACAATGCATTTCACTCACACAAATCTAAGATGAAAGAAAAACAAACCAAGCAATCCACCATGGACATCCTTCTGAAAAGAGTATTATCTCCTCCAGAAGAGCCTCAGGCAGGTCCTTCAGGTGTCTAAAAGAAGGCGCTGTTCTCACAGGAGATGACAGCTCCACGCGTGTTCTGGCCCTGAAGGCCTTCCCGTGGGACAAGGTGTGGAGTTGGAAGACAGTGACCTTGATGATCCTGACCCTGTGTGGGCCTGGGTTAACGTGTGTCGTAGTTTTTAACAAAAAGTTTAAAATGTAAAAAATAAAATTAAAAACAATTTAAATAGGAAAAACGCTTATAGAATGAGGATAGAAAGGAAGAAAATACTTTTGTATAGCTGTGTAATGTTTGTGTTTTAAGCTAAGTGTTATACAGAAAAGTCAAAAAGGTTTTTTAAACTAAAAAATGTGTAAAGTTAGAAAAGTTACAGTAAGCTAAGGTTAATTTACTGTTAACAAAAAGGAAAATATTTTTTAGAAGTTTAGTGTAGGCCAGGCACGGTGGCTCACACCTGTAATCCCAGCACTTTGGGAGGCTGAGGTGGGTGGATCACCTGAGGTCAGGAGTTCAAGATCAGCCCGACCAACATGGTGAAATCCCATCTCTACTAAAAATGCAAAAATTAGCTGGATGTGATGGTGAGTGCCTGTAATCCCAGCTATTTGGGAGGCTGAGACAGGAGAATCAGTGGAACCCTGGAGGTGGAGGTTGCAGTTAGCTGAGATCATGCCATTGCACTCCAGCCTGGGTGACAAGAGCAAAACTCCCTCTCAGAATAAAAGAAGGATTCACCTAGATCTGCCTCCACTGCAGCAAAGTCCGTTCATGGCAAGTGCCCTATGCAGGTGCACCATTTTACCGCACTGTTTTAAATCATTTGTTACTGTACCTTTCTTACATTTAGATATGTTTACGTACACAAACCCATTACCATCATGTTACAATTGCCTGTGGTATCCAGTACAGTAACAGGTTCACAGGCGTGCATCCTAGGAGCAAGAGACTACACAGTACAGCCTGCGTGGATAGTGGGCTGTCCCCTCTAGGTGTGAATGAGTGCACTCCGTGACGTTTGCACAGTGTTGAAATTGCCCAATGACGCATTTCTCAGAACATCCTCATGGTGATGAGACGGTAAGTGAATCTCAGCCACTCCCCTTATTAGCACCAGGGGCAGAGTCGCCATCTCCCTTACTTCCCATCTGTCATCGCTCATCTGCTGGAAACTCCTTGTTAGGCCACTGGGATTGGTGCAGTGTAGATCACGGTTAGCTTGTGCCTGATCTCTGGGGCAGATTTGGTATGGGAAGCCGGCGCCACACAGAGGGTGACCTCCAGTCACCAAATATCACCAAGGAAAAGGACACTATTCAAAAGATGTTCTGTGAAAGCTGGTGCTTTTGTAGCATCTATGTGAGCTGTACTTGGTGTAGACACCGGAGGGGAGGAAGCGGTTGTTTTAAGTCCCTGCCCTCCTCTGGCTCCTGCAAATCATTTTGTACAGCCTCCGTTTAGGGGCTGTTTCTTTGTTAACGTACAGAGACCAAGAACTAGAGTTTGGAGCCAGGTCCCAGGGTTCTGATCCTGGCTCTAATTTGCTAGCTGTTTCATCTTGAATGAGTAATTTAATTTTTACAAGACCCAAATGACTTCTGTGTTAAATCTCCGTGGTACCTCCAAGGGCTGTTGTTGGGACCAAATAGGTGTGGCTATGAAGTGCATAGCGCAGTGCCCTGTATGGGGTCAGGGCTTAATAAACGTTGACGATCATTTGCTTGGTTGTGGGGAAGCTGATTAAATTTGCTGTGCATTGTGCTGCGTCTTCCTTGATCCCCTTCCCCTGCTCGCGGAGCCTTGAGCCAGACCTCAGTCAACACGGCCAGCAGCTGACCCAAGCTGTTACAAAGGAGGCCATGGTAGAAGGGATCATGAGTTTCAAAGATACTCCCAATGGAAAGGCAGATCCCTTTCAGGAGGAGACAGAGGAAGACGGAAGGCTGGGTGCAGCTGGACCTGCAGCCCAGGACAGCTAGGAAAGAACTACCCGGGGCTGGTGGTCCTGACAGAGCCATTTTTATCAGTGGACAGTGGCCAGGCTGGACCTCCATCCTCCTGGAGCTGGCCCCTCCCCAGCACAGCGGGGACGGTGGACACCAATGTCCTGAGTGGGACCTCACGAAGGCAGGGAAGACAGCTGTAAACCACAGATGGCCCCAGCAAACCATCAGGGCCCAGCCCATGAGCAGTGCAAAAGCTCTCCTTTCCTGACACGGGACAGAGATCTTTGAAAAGCCCACCTGCTCCCCTCCTCTGATCCCATTCCCTGGACATGAACCACATCCCTGCTTGGCAATCACTTTCACTCAGCATCCGAGCTGTGGACTCAGTCTTTACTTTCTCTGTAATAGAAACGTGGCAGAGTGTTGTCTCTACAGCCTCTTTGGCTATGAGCAAGGAACTGTGAATCCAACAGCCAACATAGAAGCAAAAATGCTCCCCATGGGAAGAAGAGACAACAGGCTTTTATCAAGAATTAATCCCTACAATCTGGTCTGATGTCAATACAGACTCAGGAACATCTTCCACTAGTCTTTCACCACTGTACAATAAAAATCTCAAACTGATCGTGGCCTGGAGAGGGCTAAGATCACTCATCAGGAGAGAATTATCTCCTCGGTACATTATCTTTAGGCGGGAGAGCAGAGCTCTGCATTTTGTTCAACATATTCTACAAGATCTGAAAGGAGGGCTTTGGACTGGTTCACTTCAGTCACCCTAGAGAGGCTTGCAGGAAACCTTCCAGCCTTCTCTGGGTGCACCATCTAACAATGGTGGTTGTTGCAGTCTGGCATGGGAACCGGATTATAGTAATTTGAGCAATTTCTTCTGTTCATGATTCATATAAATTTCTAACCTGATAAGATATTAGCAGTCAAACATAAGTGAAAGTGTTTTACAAATATTTGACTTGCATACTAGAGGCTCAAAGTCAATGAATGTCTGTATTTCTTAGCGGGGTATAAACAACTTTTGGTACTGAAATCGAAGCAAAATAATTCACTAGTTGCCACTTCTTTCTTCTCATATACGGCATGTTTCTTGCTCTAGATAGCATATGTAGGGTTTTGTATATAACGTATAAGTGACACCCGGGAGGTTTTAAATACATATTGAGTGATAAAAGTAATGAGGCTTGCTCATCTTATGAAAAGACGAATAAAAGCCTCAGTTGGAGGTTGAATTAATATTATAATAACATTGTTCTCCAACTAGGGTATGAAGAATCCTGGGAGAAGAGTATGAACTTTGAAACAGTAAGACACACGTGATTTATGGAGTGAAAGTTTTCACATGGATTTTCAGGTAGAATAGACTTAAACTTTTACCCTCGATTCTAGTGTCACCTCTCCAGACTCGTCCAGTTGGAATATTTCTTCTCTGCCATGGGGTACTGAATAAAGTTTTGAAAACGCTTCCCTTATTAAAACTCTAGACGGCAAGAGCATGTGTTGTTCTCTCTGACTTCAAGTAATAATGGAGAAAGGTAACTTGAGTAAGTGAACAGTCTGCGTTTTAAAATACTTGTGGGCTTAGCACTTCAAGTGATACATACAGAAGACAAATCTAGGATGTTTCTAAATAAATCCTTCAATTCCTGTCACTAAATTTCTCAATGAATCTGCTTGAATGCATAAAGATCTGCATTTAGCATATCGTGACTTGACAGGTGTCTAACATTTATCTTCTCACATTCTTTTGATAAAGCCAGTATTTGCAATAAAGGCAAGCCTAAACTTCAAGCCAAGATCACATATAAATTATCACAAATTTCCTGTTTGAACTCTCAATTGATATTATTTATTATATACAATATATTGCACGAATTACAATTAATTCAGACATTATTATAACGTATAATTCTTTAATTCATGCATTTAAAGAGTCAGGGACATAGCAGACCACAGGCAGTTTTATTGCCTAGGATTTTTTTTTAAATTTGTGTATAATGGCACTGGTTGTATGTGACCGTACGAATGCTGCCTCATCACTTAACGGCCTCGCCTCCCCAAGTATACTGTCCGTTTGTACAGGACTGAGGTTGCAGCTTATCCTTGTTCCATCTTTTTCATTATTTTCTTGTCTTGGCCTCCTAGCAGGTATTCACATACCAACAAAAAATAGCAGTTAGCAAATTCATCAAAGAGGCCCCCAAAGTGCCTGTGTTTGGTGAATGTGCCTTCATAGTCATTGATCATGAAACGCTCAACCTTATCGCAGCTGAGCTATAATCTCATGATCTGAGGACCAAGGTCTTTGCCCAGAAACACTTAAATATATCCCACACACATGAAACCAGTAGCAAATAAGAAAGTTTGACAGATTGTGTGAGACCAGAAGGCTTTTCTATTGTTTATAAACTGTTGCTTCAAAATGGAAGGAACGAGTTGACCCTCAGTGCCTGTTTCATGTCAGGGGATTGCATTTTGGAGTAAACTAGCCAGCTAGAATGCCTGCCTCTTTCATAGTGTGTGTGTGTGTGTGTGTGTGTGTGTGTGTGTGTGTGTGTGTATTTACCGCAAACAAAACCTTAAAGCTAATATTCCCTGCCCTCATGGACAGGACTATGTACTTTAATATATTTGGAGACAGTGTTTTTTGTGGTCAACCCTTGGGGCATACCCCACTGCTATTAGGGTATGTGTACTAGGACCACAGAGGAGAATATTTGAAATGGGGACTATGCCAGAAAGCATGGAACTGTGGTCTCCTACCCCCAGATGTCTACATCATGACTTGTTCGTTCTTTTCTATCCATTCTCAACCTGCCCATATTGTTTTGCATCCTCCTCCTTATCTGCCTTGTTTGACTTCCTTAGGACAACATTGATCACCATGCCAAGTGAATAAGGGGAGGAAAGGGCACTTTGTGGGCAAAGTCCATGGCTGTCAGCGCAGAGGCAGGGATAGTAGGTAAGTTAGATACACGATGTCATCAAAACTGCTGTGAGGATTCATCTTCCTACTGAGGAGGTGGAAAGGCCAATGCAGTTCTGAAGATGACCCTGGAGAATGGTGAGGATTCCTCTCGCCACGTGGCTGCTGGATGGGGATGGGAAATGGATGAACGGGGAATGCCACTGAATTATGGGAAGAAACTCCCTTTAATCCTAGTCCTCTCCCTCAGTGTTGCCTAGAAAAGAAGTTCTTGAAGGCGCTGTTGTAGTTCTTGTTGAAAGCCGTATAGATCAGGGGGTTAAAGAAGGAGTTGGAGTAGCCAAGCCACAGGAAGATGCTTTTCCAGATGGCGGGGATGTCACAGGAGCAAAGCGGACTGATGAGCTCCGTGAGAAAGAAGGGGATCCAGCAGAGTGCGAACACACCAATGAGGATGCCCACCATGAGGGCGGCCCGCTGCTCCTTCTGCTCCCGCCACGTGTCCCCTTCTGTCTGGAAGGTGACGGTGGCATGGCGGACCGTGAACACCATCTGAGGCTGTTTGGCGGGGTCCTTCACCTGTAAAAGACAAGCAGGAGTTTTAGGAGGAGCCACCTCTGTCTACCTGCCAGCCTGAACCTAGACACTGACAGGCCTGGATTCCGCACATCCAGTTCCAGGGAAGGTCCCAACAGATAGGTGTGGGAACCTGAAGGCCCGTGGCACACACCGTCAGATGTGGGAATCAGGCGCTGGAGCTGGGGTGTTTGCTTATGTCTTAGAAATGAAAGAACCAGATGTGATGGAATTGACGTCCTGAAAATGGACTCCCTATTGCCGTCTGTTCAACAGAGGCAGTGGCATAAACGAGCAGGTGACATGGCACGCATGACTTAGTGGCAGAGGTGCACACGTCATCAAAAGTGTGCTGGATTGTACGCTTACGACCACATGTCCCACCATCTTTATAACCTTCTGGGCTCGTGTAAGTCCCCTCTATGATGTTAAAACTTTCTAGAACTTTTCCTTTGGCACAAAGATCCTACTGCTGTGCTCTGTAGCATATTCTGTTTGAGGCAGTCCAGTGGCTGGGACACTTCTCTCTGGGTCTATTCTGTGTCTTCCTCTATGCCCCTATATTTATGTAAAACAGAGACCCCAGTCTTTTAGAGTCTCCCCTTGGGTTCCCCCAAGGCCTCCACAGGGCAGGTTCCCACAGAATGAGGCCCTCCAGTTCACTTCCTTCTCTCAAGGAGTGGAATTCCTGGAAAGGAAGCTCTTCCTCCATTCTGGTCCTATTTCTAGCTGTTGGGAGGACTGACATAATGAGTGTCTACTGATGAGGCAGCCTAAATATGAAGCAACTGTAAATTTACATTAGGAAATTACTCAATCCAATCAAAATGTGGGACAGTTTCTGAGTCAGTCATTCTCTGGCAGGTGAGATTGCATTGACATTAAATCGTATTCTTCCCCTCTCCACCATACTGTGACTCTAGTACATTTAAACGATTTACACAGCCTGTTCTCAAAGAGCATACTATCTTTTAGGCAAAGAACCTTCAGGTCAATCTAACTCACTTAACTCATTCTTGGCCTCATTTATAAAGTGGACTCAAAAGGAACTGACTTACTATCATATGGAATAACAGGTGGAAATAGGAACACCGTGGTTAAGGCAATGTACCTGATGAATAAACTACCAAATTTGTAGAATAGACTTGCTGACATTTATTTGAAAAACAGTATAACATCAAGTACTATACACTAAATTAAATTTAAAAGAAGATAATAAATAGTAAAGCAAATAGTCCATAAGGCAACCTTTAAAAACACATATAAAATAAGCACTGAAAATCTCTCTTTCTGTACCTCTTGATGTAACTCTGTAACCAGAGTTACCTTTGGTTACTGATTTATCAATACATATCTGGAAATGCATTTGAGGGGATTCATTTATAGAAATCTAAACCATAACTAGCTTAATTTTTCGGCATAAAAGAAAGAGGCAAAGCTACCAATTTCCCCATAGTAAGAGAATTCAACCCCATAGTAACATCACGGAAGCTGTTTCCCCTATTGTCCCCAAATGGCAATAAAACAAGAATCTAGCTGGCCTCTTCAACCCTCTGGAAATTCTCCTTCTTCTTGGCACATTTTTATGAGTGACAATGGGGACACGGGTCATACTGGAGACACTGGTCACACTGTGGAGGCTGATCACACTGTGATCACATAAAGGATGCTGGTCACACTGGAGATGCTGGCTATACTGGAAACACCATGGATTCTGGTCATACTAGAGATGCTGCTCACACTGGGAATGCTGGTTACACAGGAGATGCTGTTCACACTGGAGATTCTGGTCACATTGGTGACACCATGGATGCTGATTACACTGTCAATGCTGGTCACACTGGAGATACCATGGATATGAGTCACACTGGAGATGCTGGTCGCACTGGAGACATCATTGATGCTGATAAAACTGGAGATATTGGTCACACTGTGGATGCTGGTCACACTGGAGCTACCATGAATACTGGTCACATTGTGGATGCTGGTCACACTGGTGACACCATGGATGCTGGTCACACTGGAGATGTTGGTCACACTGGAGACATCATTGATGCTGATTATACTGGAGATGCTGGTCACACTGGAGACACCATGGGTGCTGGTCACACTGGCGATGATCACACTGGTGATGTCAGTGACACTTAGTGCTTGATTTAGACATGTTTCATAGTTTAGTCATAGAACTCCAAGTTGGTCAGAAAAGAATATTTTTCTATTACCTTGTGAAATGTTGATTATTTTACTGGGCCATCTTTGGTGCTGCATTCAGCATCAACTGGCTTGATGGAAGAAAGATCCGTGACATTGATTTAAAATGGTACCTCTGGGACAATAAAGACTCCAGCTGCTAGGAGGATGTTGGTTGCTTGTGGAGTTTCAGGCTTCTAATGCCCTCAAATGGTAAATTTGTTTGCTTGCTCTATGGCTCTCTGATTTATGGACTCTTTAGCTCTTTGCTGTCTTCTAATCAATGGTTGCGATAAAGCAATTAATTTAGTCTGGAAAATAATGCTCTATGAATTACTGGATCCAACCTGGTCATTAGTAAACTCACAGAAAGAGAGGAAATAGGGTTAAAAAGTTAACAGTTAAGCCAAATTAATTTTTCCTAATAATCTCTGAAATGCATGTAAAGCACCTACCTCATAATTTAAGATTCATTTATAAATTTTTTTCTAAATGAACACTTATCCTCATCTTCCTCAGCAAACAAGTTCTTTGGGGACAGGAACGTATGTGTGAGAGCTTTCATTCTTCCAAAATGATTGTGCTAAATAATTATTTACCAGTTAATCATAAATATGATATGTTCTTTTATTTCATCCAACCACTCTGCTTTGCCTCTTTAATAATGTCATAGATAATCAATGGATTACTGTCAAAAACGGGTATTGGAATTAAGGGACAAAGACTCCTACCTTGGAAGTGTGGTTTCAGGCGATTTGCAAGTTAGACCACAGAATAAAAATGTTTAATTAAAAACGGCCTTACACATTAAGGAAGGCTCCATGAGGGTGTGAATAAAAATGGTCCCACACGCTTAGAACAAAACTAATTGTTCTATACAGTTATAGATATAATATAATATAGATATAATAACAAACAGGCTTTTTTTTTCTTGTTTAAACCCCTTCAATTGATCAAGGACAATGCAGTTTTGTGAATATACACTTGTAAACCAATTAATCCGTGTCAGCCCTCACTTCTGAAAGTCAGCCATTTAGGGTCAGACTCAACCTAATAAACACACCTCTGAGCATCAATCATCCAACAGAAAACCCCATTCTGAGTAAACTCCGTTCTGCAGCTGATGTCAGTCTGCTGCTCCTCAAGTGTCCCCAGTGTCTAAACCCACACCACCCCAAATCATGGATGCTTGGCACTCCGCTCTGCTCTGGGAAATTGCTGTCAAGTATTGCTTCCTCTCACTATTCTGAGTCAAAGATTCAGCTTTGTCTATTTAAGATTCTGAACAGTAGTGGCATCACCCATGGACAGTTCTGGAGGTTCCACTGAGGTCATTTTGAAGACTCCCTGGGATCCTTGGACCACAAGCGCATTCACTGGGCCCCAAACTCAGTTGCCCTTTGCATCTGCAGCCAAGTGCATCAACCTCAACAAGGATTTGAGTTCCTCCTCATTTTGCTGGGCTCTTAATGCTCAACGCATTTTATTATCCTAAGATTGGAGACCAGCTATGTCCTTGGATAAGGTCGCAAGGCTGAGGTGTTTGTATTACGTAACTAGATCTTTGATTTGAGATCTACCATCAGGTCATTGTCTTAGATCTCTGTATAAAGCTTTCAGCCTCTTGCCATGAAGGTGTATCATTTGGCAAATATTGCCATGCCATTATTCTACTTATCCTACGGCCTACTTGCTTTGCTTTTGTGTTGTCTCATGTACAAAGCCTCAGTGCATGGGTTTTTGTTTTGTCCTGGAATGCCTTCTTCTGTTGAATACAGAAGGAACTATTCTGTAAGGCACTGGCTTGTTAAGTTTCCAATCTAATCCAAGCAGGACCTGAGCGCTAATGATTTGAAGACCATTATTAGCCAGTGACCAATTTATGACAAAGCAATTGATCAAACTTGGCTTGTGGTCCCCTACAAAACTTCTATGAGGGCACTCCTGACTTGTCAAGTGGTGAAAATACATCACTTGGCTCCATCGTTTTCCAGCTTAATGACAGTCGCGTGGACAATTGTGTGTCCCCTTCTGCCATCTGTTTAGTCCGGGACCCTGAGACACTATTCACAAACACAAACTGTTGGCCAACCACAGTCACCTCCTTCTCGTGTTCTCCTGTGCCATGGCTTGCCCTTGTCAAAATCCCAATCCTCTTTTTTAAGAACTATTTCCTCTTTAAAGTTGTATTATGATCCTAACCCTTGAACTTCTCTTCACAAATGCCAAACTTTTTTTTTTTACTTCATGAGAAACATCTGATGAATCAAAAATTAATAAGTTATTTAAGAGAAGCTCTAGAAAAAGTAGGAGACAAACATCAAATGGCTAAAATTCAGTCTCTTACTTGGTATTTTGAGGCCTTAAAACAAAATTCTAACTCTGAAATAGTACCAAAGATTTTGTAACCTTCCGAAACCTACTGTCTTTGCATATCTCTATCTTGTATTTTTCTGTTCAGCTTTATCTGACTTCCTAAATGAATCAGGTTTTTCTCAGGAAAAACACAATCACATTATAAAATTACCAGAAGAAAAATCAGATTTATAGAATTTAAATTAAAACCTTTGTCTAGACCTAAGTTAAGAGCTATAATTAATAAATATTCTAGGGCAGGCATGGGGGCTCATGCCCGTAATCCCAGCACTTTGAGAAGCCAAGGTAGGAAAATCATTTGAAGTCAATGGTTTGAGATGATCCTGTGCCACACAGAGAGACCCATCGCCACAAAAATTTTTAAATTAGCCAGGTATCATAGCATATTCCTGTAGTCCCAGTTACTCAGGAGGCTGAGGCGGGAGGTCTGCATGAGC